CATTTGATACTCTAGCTTGTGGGGTCCCATAGACTTAGTCAAACCATTTAAAGTTAAAGTTCTCTAATCTTTAAATTAGCAGCAAGGGTTCAAGGAAATTGACAATGTACCGCAAAAAGAATGGGTTACTGTTTTGATACGTTATCAAACTTTAGGGTTAAGCTTGTAGCAAATATAAAAAAATAGAATTCCAATCTAAAACCGACTCAGTTGTTGATGGTTTCTCGCAAAGCAGTTGAAAATTCATCTTACGCTAAAACTACAAGGAGCAGACACAGGGTATCGGCTAGTCGTTTGCAGTTTGGAACTCCCTGGCATTTCCAAGTGCACTTGAGCGTCTCACAGCTTTACAGCTAATGAATAGCGCCCGGTTCAATATGATTTCTTGCACGATTTGTTTGTTAAAAGTCAATTAGTTGATAAAGCAGCTAAAAGCCGCTCAAGAGCAGCTGTAGCTTCTTAGTCAGTTGGTCCATTTGTCTGCTGGGGGTAGCCCACACACGAGTGTAGCGTCGGCGGCTGTGGCTGCGTCGTCTGCTGCCACAGTAACTGCCACAGCCACTGCATAATAAATTCGCTAACCACGTAATGCTGCAGCTGCAGTGCAGGGATTTGGTATACATTTTTTATGCGCTGCCCGCCCGCTTCGAAGTGCAGGAGACACTGGCAAAAGTTTAAGAAAAGTCAACAGTTAACAATGCGGCTTCAACGTGTCGCCCGTGCGGATGCGGATGCGGATGCTGAAGCGAATGAGGATGCGGATGAAACCACAGCAGCAGCCGCCGCAGCAGGGCTAAAGTTCGTGCGCTCTAATGGCATATTGCGGGCAAGTGCCAAAGCGAGCCAACGGCGCTCCGGGAATATAACCAGTATGTGAGTGTGTCTTCAAGTGTTTGGGGCTCTGGGCCCTGGGCATAGAGTTTGGCTATTCTGGCTAGTTTAGTTTGCCTTTAAAATGGCCAAAACTTGCTGCTAATTGGATTTGTCAACTCAATAAAAACTGAATTAAATGCGTTTTGATGGTGTGACTTAATGTTGGTATTGGGTTCCTTGACCAGTCACCGGCAACCGGCTACCAGACACCAGTCACCAGCTCGAAAAAACTTGGCAGGCAGCATGCATAGACAAGTAAGCAGCCGCAGCTAGTTGCAGGACCAAAAGGTATTTGTTTGGTCGCAAAACTTTTGCATATTAAAATGTCATAAAAAGCAATGTGCAAGGCAATTTCCGCTGCCAATTGCATAAAAATTCTAAACGAAAAACAAAACAAAAATCTCTAGCTCTTTTCTGCTTGCATACCAAATACTTTGCAAGGCAACGCTGCGTATGTATAATTTTGGCAGCCGCACCACAAGAGAGATAAAATGTCATTAAGCCAGAATGCGGCACGCACAAGGAGTCCAGAGCGACTGCAGCTGTTACTGCGACTGCAACTCAAGCTGAATCTGGTCAGCTGCCCACACAGTGGTCAGTGTTTGGCTTTGGCTCATTGCGTGACTGCGGCGGCGACGGCAACGGCGACGGCAACTGCGATTCCGATTCCGATGACGCCTTCACATGCCGCAACAGCAGGATGCGAAGTGGAGCCTCCTGTTGGCCAGATTACGCGCACGATATGCTAATTTACATGCAGTGCCAGGGCCCAGGAGGAGTCTTGTTGTGGGCGATCGATGGCCATGCGAGGCCGAGACCGAGACCGAGGCCTGCAGCTCAGACGCTTGCGGCTGCTCGGCCTACGGGGCACCCTGATCGATATCTGGCAACTGGAAAAAAAGTGGTAAGTACAAGTAATCGAGTTGTAATAAATTTAAAGTGTGGAGCACCCACAAAAATACGCCAAGGCAAACTTGTTGCACGCATATTGACACACGCACAGAAGCACGACCAGCACGGAGAGAGCTGTGGAGCGGGGTACGCTAGAAAGGCACAGTCAAGCTGTTGATTTTCAGCAAACATTTCACCTGCTTGGCTGTTTGGCTGTTTGGCCTGCCGGCTGTTGAAAGTTCGACCCGAGGGGCTATTTGCTAAGTATTTTCACGTTGCGGTTGCGACCACTTAAAATCGACTACCTCAAGTTGTTGCCACAGCAGTTGCAGTTGCATGCAACAAGCGTCAATCACCCGCACAAAGCCAAACCGTTCGCTTCACTGTTATGGAAAATTGTTGATTTGCCGCTTGATTGCGTGCATAGAGTACAGTTGGGGTGCTCGGAAAGCAGCCTGCAGCCTGCAGCCGGAGTGCAGCGGCTATTGGCAAAGCCATCAAGTGTTTATGGATGCGTTGTGAAGTGCAAAGCCCAAAATACCGACAAACACCGGGAAATGGCAATGAAAGTGATGGTCAAATGATCTCCTCAGCAGGGATTTTTAACAACAACAATTATGCAAAATTTCTTTTGTACATCTGGCGAGCGAAAGTTCGAATATATCAGGTGAATTTATCTTTAAACAAGAATTTGATAAGATAATATATTCAAATTCTTAATAATAAAGAAAGTCGAGCACATCCAAAATAAATTTACGATTAATCAACATTTCACATTTATTTATTTCAATAAGTTGTTTAACTTAGCCAGTTATTGATTTCAATGCATCTGGACTAAGTCCCAGGAATGGTGGTACGTGACCTTCTTTTGTAATATAGCTATACTTGGCTATATAGCCATTAGGACCAGCCTCATAGATAACAATCAGAGTTCCGGACTGAGGTTCAAATTGCTGGTTGAGTTGACCCTTAACCAGAAACTCTCCAGGTGCGATCTCTTCCACGTTCTCCTCACGCACAGCGCCCAGCTGATTAATTCTATGTGTGAATAAGTTTATCAGCTTTAAATAGAAAATATTCTAAAGAAATCTTCTACCTAAGTGTGTATTTTTTGTCACTTATGGGCTCCAACTGAACATTGCTATCTTGGATACGTGGAACCAACGCCGAGAGTGCCGAGCTGGCAAAGAGAACCACAAGTAACTGTAGAAAGTAAACTTTAAATAGTAAAGTAAACTTTAAAATATTAAAAAGATCTGCAGCTTACGGAAATAAACAAATTCGCAGACATTTTGTCGTCGATCTTTCTGTGTCTGTATCTGGCAACCAACTAGATTGGCAACTCCCAGCGACTCATCTTCAAGCCCAAAAATCTAGTCGCTTTACTTCATTTAAGACGCAAACGAGTTTTGTACGACTATCAAAAGATAACAACAAAATTAAGCGACCTTAAGCTTGAAATTGTGTGAAGGCCGCTCGCCCTCAAATACCTTAATACGTAATACAGGAAAACTCATTACATCCGAATTTCCGCAACAGGCAGTGGGAGATGTTCCAAAGCTGCTTGAAGTTGTATTACAATAAATCCTAACTATTTAATTGAGCAATATTGGCAAGTTTTATAACTTTACAAAGACGCGATAACATGGTAAAGTGCTTTTGTCGGGCATATCCGACTAGTAGATATTCTGTACCCAGCGCCGACTTGTCGTTACAAGAATTTGAACATATAATATAATTTTTTCGTCACGACTTTAATTTCGTGCGTTTGGCTAAGGCCGATAAAATTTTGACCGCACTCCTCTAGAGTAACACTATCAGTTTTTCATTAAACTGAACCAAATGTAGCTGTTTTATTAAGGAAAGAAATTACCCAGCGTCGACAGGGGCAAATGTATATGGTATTATAACGTATAATGTTGTCGCGCCAACATCTGACAGATACAAATGTGCTTAAATTAACACCATTCCTCTTTCAATATTATTATTGCTAACTTCCACTTTATTTTTGTTTTGTTTATATATTATTATTGCCTTTTCTATGCGAATAATAATAAATTTAAAAAAATCAAACGTATAACTTTATAATTGCAGCTGAATCTGAGCCAGCGACCTCTCGCTTGTTGCTACAATGCTCAGACATCGAAGCCACACAGCTTCATGACTTTATGACAGTTGTTTTTGATGGTTTTCATACACAAACAGTAAACAGCTTTTCCCCCACTTGGAGGTCAAATTTACAGAAAATTTTGGACGCAAGAAGCAGCTAAATTAAAAATTATAGCTTCGTAGCTTTTACAATTTGGATTGTGCGTTAATCAGCAATCAGAATAATCTTTTTTTTTATATAAATTTGAATGGCTAACTTATTTTCGAAGCTCAACATACAAAGTGAAAAGAGCTTCTCCCGAACAAAACACGGCAATACGTGCTTATACTTATATATAGAATCTTCCATTGCACAGTATAGGACAAGTCCAGTCAAATATTATTGGGATCTATAATAACAGTTAACGTGCATAGAGACGACTACAAGACAATTCCCAAATTTGTTGTCCTCAGGAGACAATTGCTTAGAATTGAAAGAAATCAGTACTAAGTGGTTTTAGAGGAATAGAGGAAAACCGTTAGCCTTATCTGGATAGGTAACGCTTACAAAAAATATAAGCTGGCTATAAAATGGTTTATATTAAATAGTTAAAAGTAATTTAAGAAATAAATTGCTTAGAGAGTGAGAGTAGGCTGCAAACTGTGAGACATGCTTGTATGCACGAGTAGACTTGATATATGGCAATGGCAAAAGCTACCCATTTAATAGTCCAAATCTTATTGAGTACACAGACTTCGGTTAAGCATATGAGCTCGAGCGGACGCTTTTATGACACACATTTTTAGGCCGGAAACGTGCCCCGCGGCGCAAGGTGAGTCCCAAATGGGGAACCGCGCGCCGGTCTGGGAACGGAAACTGCCGTTTTCTTAGACTTTGGCCACATTACGCTACTGACGGCCACTGATTGGTACCTCGTAAATGGCGGCAGTCCGCTGCAGGTTATAAAGTGCTCAGGTTTGGCAATTTAGACCAAGATACTAGCCAGCGTCCTTAAATAGCCAGACAGACTTAGTTAGTCATTAGTGGACTGTGGCTTGCACCATGGCCAAGTGCACTCCGAAGTTGTTTTTATGAAATCTTTTGACCCACTAATGCATATATTCGCAATTAAAAAGTCAATTGAATGTTAAATGTTGAGCAACAATAAAGCCAATTATCTACAGCATTTAATGATTGACAAAAATTAGTGAAAGTCTTGATTATGCAGTTATTGTTTTGCAGGTGCCGGCAATTGAAGTTCCTTCGGTATAATTGTGTACCTGGTTAAGTAGGAATTAGTACCCGTTTTGTTGGTTATGATTAGTCTTCCCGCTGGTCCAACATAAGCACGTTTTAGGTCATCTATTCCTGTAAACTGGCCAGGCCCAGTTTCTTCCACAATTTGCTCAAGCAAATTTCCCGCACGATCAGGAAGTCTACATGCAAATCATTGAATGAATGAATCATATAAAATTATTAAAAGTTTTCATTCAACTAACATAATTCTGTATACGTTATCATGAAGGTGTTCGAGCTGAACAGTTCTCTGAGTGGCTACCTCGACATTACTATATATTTTCGGTCCTACATTCTCGTGTACTGGCGACGACAGGACCAATTTGATAATTATAAGAAGAAGCACCTGAAGATATCATGAATAAATTTCAATATTTGAGAAATCGGTTACTCACAGGGCTGAGTGAAATTCCAGACATATTGTCGTCAGCCTTTTTAGATTAGTGCCTCAAATGTCTTTAAGAAAAACTTGTTGCCCGTTTTATAGGTTTTACCTCTCAGGTAAAACGCATCGATTCGATATAAGTTATTTAATTATAGCGTAGTAAAATATATGGTTGGCGTGCATAAAGAATCTCAAGGTCGTTGAGGAAAAACTAAAACAGTTTGACCAACCTTTTACAGCTAGGAGTATAAAAAATACTTAATGTGTGCTGATGAAATCGGCACTTTAATAGATACATATATTTCAGCAATATGTTTCTGAAACAATCCAATTGAACATCAGACATATAGAAAACAATTCAATTTTAAAAAATTAAAATATTTACTTGTCACGGTATTTCAAATACAAATTTTGATTTGCAGATAAACAAGCATATAAAATATATTAATTTAAAAAAAATAAACACATTGCTACGATATCCGTCACTAAGAATGATTACAAACCGATTTTAAGTTTGAATATAGACGGTCATATCAAATCTATATACATTCTAATGAAATCAAATATTTTCTTCTTGCGATATTCGTATTAAAGAATGATTTCAAACCAATTTTTGATTTTCAGACAAACAAGATATATATTTTTTATGAATTCTGTTTTATATTTTATTGCCTACACGATTTATCGCAAGGCTGTCAAACAATTTATTATGTAAGTTGTGCTGGCATTTAATCTGAATCAGGCGTTTGCGCTTCTCCAACCTGATCTGTTACTGGCGGAACATACTGATATATGCCATATGCCTTGACGTCACCTTGATCAGGACCTGCTTTATGGGTAAGGAATAGTCTGCCATATGGGCTAAATTGTGGCTGGGTTAGTTGGCCCCTCACTTCATATTGATTGGCGTTGGTCTTCTCCACAGTTTCTTCCAGTGTAGATCCATCTGAATGTTTAATTCTATAAACAAATCAGTCAATGTATGGACCCTTAGAAACTAAATGCCTTTTTGCTTGAAACTAACCTTAGCTGGTATTTGTTAAAACCAATTGGTTGGATCTCAACGCCATCAAGAGAAACACTCGGTACCAATCCCGACATCGCCAAGTTGGCAATCAGAATCAGAACCAGCTATATAAATATTAAAGAGGGTCCAATCAGTGCTCACTTCTCAGGAATGGTGCAACTTACCGAGCTAAGCAGAATTCTCGACATGTTCTCATCGACTTATTTCGATCAATGGTTCTAAATAAAAGCATTTATGCCCGTTTTATAGACTTTGTCTGACAATTTGAATAAAACGGATCGATTCTTCATAGCAAATGCTAGAACTCAGACGTGTCTAACAAATGACAAGCTTGTTGAGAGCAAACAAAAATACTTTGGCTACGGTTTTTAAATAGTTAAACAATATTTATGCAACACCGTTATACGCTGCTTATAACCTGGAACGTGAAAAATCACTTTGTTATACACATAACTATTATGCAAACGGGTTGGAATTCTCTAGTCAAGAGTCTTTAGTTCTTTAAGTTCTTTAAGGCTCAGAGCCTTAAAGTGGATAGAATGAGATCTCCGTCAAGATCAAGAGATATTTCATTCCTTTTTCAATAGAAATACGTTATGCCTCACAGTCCCAAATATTTTAACTTTATGCATACATATATACCGAAAATTCTCCAAGCTGACATCAGCCAAAGTCAGCATGGAATACTTAGAGTCCGCTTCCTATGGCAGCTCATCGTAGCTTTCAAACAGCTCAACTATAAATCTAAGCCCCTTGCCAGCCTCATGTTCAGACTAACTGTCGAGGCGTGCACGCATTGCCGTGAGCTTTGCGTCTGGCTGGCAACAGCCTTTGCCCGGAGCACCCACAAGCAACTGCAGACGATCGGAAGATGGACCCCGGGCGGCCGCTGCGACCATAGTTGATGATGCCAGCTGACCTTAATCACAAATTTGCATGCGCATTGGGGCCTCGAGCCCAACAGAGCCGCCAGACGGAGTCAGGCGGACAGAAATGCAGTTGGAGCTGAAAACGCATGCAGCTGCAGCAGGTGCAGTCGTAGCAGTTGTTGTGGAGTTAGAAAGAATTCTTGCCATAGCCGCTACACCCACACACGACCTTAGCAGCTCATTGATTTCAATGGCCTCATGCCTGCAATTTAAATGCATTGCGAGCTATAAATTAATGCCAGACAATTGCATATTTTCTAAGGTCGCCTGAGCAAGGAGAAACCCGTTGTAGCTGCCCCAGTGCCTGGGAACGGGCAACACCCGCAATTGATTTTTATTTATTTATATAAATATATATATATATCATTTATATTTTTTTTTTTTTTTTGGGTGGTTCTGCGTTGTTCTCCGGTGACTTGCAGCTGCAGTGCGCAGCAGCTTGATTTATGCGACAAAAGCTGCAATGAAGGCCGTGGCTCATATGGCAAAAAATTGTCAACAGAGCGGACCATAAAAGCCGAGCGCCGAGATACGAGCATGATACCAGACTACACTAATCAACACGTATTGATCATATGCAAGTGGTCAGCAGTCCATGGAGCGACTGTCTATTAATTAAGCAACAACAGCAGCACCAGCGGCAGCAAAAACTTAGCTGCCGTTTTGGTCACTACACGTTCACCCAGCTACAAATTGCTGTTGCCACTTTGGTGCGCCAGCCACTGAATCTTTGGCCAGTTGGCTGCAGGTTTATGCGACCAATATGCTTATCGTGGCGGCATAATCGCCAATTGCAAGCGCTGAGGGCAATGAAAATGGACTGAGATGCCATTCCTGGCCGGCAGGACGGAATAGGACTGGGTGGTGCTGAGGATGGGGATGGGCCACTGATGAGGCAATCTACAACGCATAACTTATACGCAACGCGTTTCCTCCCGACTACTCATAAATGTGACAGTTTTCACTAGAACTGTTGCTATTGATATGGCATTTAAGTACTATAAACCTTTTCGGTCAGCGGGCTTTTAGCCCAGAATGTAATGAGAACTATGGTGGGGTAAATCGTAAATGGAATAATGGAATATGCAAAAGAAACACTTGGGCAAATTAAGTAAATTAAATATAAAAAGTTTACTTACCTGCACATAATCTGCGATCTACCAGATATGTAAAACGGAAATGGGTATCCCTGAAAGAAAGGAAATGTGAGCGAGAATTAAAAGAGTGCTTGGTGAATTTAAATTCTTAATAAGAATGAGAATGGAAAAACACTTCTTTAACCCAGGCTCGATCATATTTTGATCTATGGCAAAACTGAAGCAAACAGAACCGTTTAAAAATTGTTGTGGCTGTCATTTATTTCATTTGACTTTTAGTTTGCCATTCTCAAATCAATTTGAAACAAACTTGCGGCCAGTTAACGACAAATGACATTCAAAAAGCTATGAATTTTATGCGCAGTCTATCGCAGCATGAATGGCGCGGCATTATGCGGGTGCTTTTCGCTAGGCCAGTTAACAGCCAACAGCAGACCCGACCAAGCTGGTTTCGGCCCCGTTCCGTCTGATGTCTCCGTCTCCGTCTCAATCTCCGACCTGCCCCAAGGCGCAGTCCGGTGTAATTAATGCGGCAGCAGCTGCGCTTTGCTCAGCCCCTACGTCCCTCAGCGCTCCTCGCTTATCTGACGCTTGCATATTACAAATCTTTATAGTCTTTTGCGGTTTGTCTTTGAGTTGTTTTTTTTTTTTTGTTTCTTTTCTTTTTTTTTTTTTGTTTTTGGCATCTATTCGATTTAGAAAATGTCGCATTGGGTGCGTGAGTGTGGGAAACCTACAGCAGGCGGGTGCGACGGACATGAACGATACCAATCGCAAGCGCCCGCCTGGCGCTGCCAAACGGAGCGCAGCAGCCGCGCAGACGATTGGAATCGGCGAATGACAGCGTTGGTGGCTTCCTCCTACAAGTTTCGCTGTTTGGCTCTTTGACAGCAATTTTATTTAATTTCTGTACTGATGATACACAAATGATAAGAGCACTCAGCTTGGCTAAAATTGCATTTCATTTGCGCCCAGAAATTTATATAGAGGCAGCTAGAGGATATGCAAATGGCCAACGGGCAGCGTCGAGTGGTGCCACCTGCCCTGGTGATCTGCGTCAACATGATGCAAGTGCAGGTTGCTGCCGTGTGGCCCATAAAACAAGAAAACAACACCAACTAAAATACCACGAAGTTCATATACACTCTCCCTTTATTTGGAGTTAGCGCCTGACAGCCCCTTGCATCTTTTGTAGAAATCATTGCGTAACTGTCGGAGCTACTTTCCGAAAGCTCCAACTATAAAAATGACCTCCATAATAAGTACTTAATATACATACAATCTGTGCAACAAAATATTAGACAAATTCACTACACAGACAGCTAAAAATTAGATCCATCATAGTTGAACTGCCTTTCCTTGAGACCAAAACATTATACCCGCAATTGGACATAACAAGTCTAGAGTCTCGGCCCCAAAAACAAGAGCGTCCAATTTGTGTGGCTTGTCGTAAAGTTTTTTTGAGGCAGCAGCTCCTGCAGCGGCAGGCATTCATTTGGTTTTTATGAGGCGGCATGCCAGGACGACAACATCGCACTCGTCGTCCACGAGGTCGTTCGTCTAACTTGATTAGAAGCAACGACCAGGTGGCAAGTTTGGCTACTGCTACTTCCATCTTGCTGTGGCATGTCCTGTTGATTTACGCGCGTGCTTATTGCATTTTTGGCCCACGTGCTCGCCCAACACCCACAAGGCGACCACCTGGCTGAGACAAATCGCTCGGCATTTTTTAGTTTGTCAAAATGTTTAACCCGTTAATTGTGCGATTAATCGCTGCATTAGGCGCTGCCAGCAAACACTAAATCAACAATTGGCAACGCAAGCGCACTTGCAGCAAGATGCATGCTGTATCGGCTTGTGGATACCAATTTGTTTGCCACATGGGCAATTGCGCAAGCAGCCCGCCAGCTGCCCACAAAATCAATGCCCCCCTTGTTGCATGAGGCATGCAGGGCGAGGGGGGTCAGCTAAACAATAAATAATGAAGCGAATCAGCGGCACGTAACAATCGAAGGGGAGACGCCGCCCGATTCA